TCAGGAGGCAGCACCTGTACCCTCACTTGACTTCATTCTGCCCTTCTCCCCACTTCCTCTTCTTCAGTTTGTAGGAAGGAAGTTTCCTGATTGGAACACCTACGTGGGCTAGATTTTACTCTTGTTCCTGACCGTTAACTCCACAACAGCAGCAAATACCATGGGTATTTTAGAGATGGATATTGGAAGACAAATATTGTTTAGGTGGAAGGAGTCTAGGATTTAGAGCCAAAGCCCAGAGTCTAAAGGTCCAGCTCTAGAAGTGATCACCTGTTGGACCTTGGGAAGGTCACTCTCCACCTCTGAGCCTCAGTTCATTCCTTTGTACTAAGGAAGTTTCAATAAAAAGAAATGATGAGATCCTGTTCATGAGAAGTGTAAACATAAAATGCTATGTGAATAGTTTTATCCTAAGTGTGATCATCCTTCTTATCATCCCAGAAATGAGTATACTACCAGACTCCTGGAATATCCAGGGACTTAGGGACAACTTCACGGTGGTTCTAGAGGGCGGTTCATGCAGCTTCAAGGTCGGCTGGCCACTCTGTCCAGTGGAGGGGAGACGCCATTTGGGGGCCAGATGCTCAGAGAGCATCTCCAAGTATTTTGATTAAGAGACAATTTCCTGAATTCAGAGGGCCTGTTTCAACAAGCAAGCATCAAAGTCAACTTGGGGAAGACAGGAATAATTAATCACAGCCCTGTCTAGGGCTGACCAAGCGGCAGATGGATTGATAAACCTTTCAAAGGGGAAGGTATTCCCAAGAAGGGCTGCTGCGCCTGGCTGCCCCCCTGATTGAGATTTGTGAGCACAGATAAATGTTTTCCCTGCTCACTACAAAGAGTGGGAAATCGCACGGGAGTCGAAGGGCAGGGCAACAGGGGGTGTCCTTTCATCTTCCATTGGGTGAGAGAAGAGTGGCAGAGCCGGTCCCACACAATGCTCCCTCTCTCCCACCTCCAGAGCCCAGCTACCTAGGCTGTGTGTGTGTGTGTGTGTGTGTGTGTGTGTGCACACGCGCGTGCGCGTGCACGCATTTCATGAACGCACATGCACACACCCAGGACATGCCAGGCCCTTAATCTACATGACCTCATTGAATCTCCAGAATAAGGAGATGTTACAACTCTCATTTTAAAGCTGAAGAAACAAGGGCTCAGACAGGTCAAGGTCACCAAACAAGTGGCAAACCAGGAACAGAAGCTACTGCTCCACAACACTGCAGGACCAGGAGATGTGGGCAAAGGGAAGAACAGAGAACCTGAGCCCATGAAAGAACTTGCTCGGCAGCATGTGGCAGTGGAGGAGGTGTGATTCGCAGGGCTCAGGTGGATAAAAGACCATCAACAAGACCAAACCCTGCTGAGAGCCACTGACATGAAGTTCAAGGTTGTTGCCTACTTATCTAGTAATCAATAAAGGCCAAATAGTTCCCACACTGCACAGACCCCAGCTCCTAAAAGGTCCTATTGTATTATTCTGGAATTGTCATGCATGCTCAGACATCTTGTCCTATTTCCTAACTCTCGGTGTCCCGTGACAGTCCAGCTGTCCAAGCGGCAATGATGAGCCACACCTTTGGTTGTCTTTGCTACTCCATCAACCCTGCGTGGAGGTGGGAACCAGCCATCCACTGAAAGAGTGACTAAGCCTCTGGATTTCCCACTTTTCATGCACCAGGAAGTCAATTCCAAGCTTCCTGACAGCAGACCAAGTAAATGCAGGTCCCCTCTAAGGCCAGGTTGTCTACTGGGGCATCTCCATGGGTCGGTTGAATTGGGTCATTCTCTGGAGCTTACAGCGTTCTGGGTCCAGCATGGGTCTTGGACTGAGGGAATTGGCCTCAGGACCCTGACTGCTTACTCCCTTTTTCCATTGATTAACTTGTGGAAAATCCTCAAAGGGGTCCCTCTTGCAAAGCATGAAACTTTTTAGAGGGTGTGACTTTCCTGAGTCTCCCTTGGAAACACCTTTTCTATGGCTCACTGATTAATCCCCTGGGGAATACTCAGTCTCACTACCTAAAGGCTCTGTGTCACCCAGTCTCCAGTGATTTATCAAGCTGTAGTCATTTTTTGCTCTTTAGCCTATGGCCCATCTTCTTTGCCCTGTGACCTCAGGGATTCCTCTAGCAAGTAACCAGGAGCCTGGGAAGGACCAGGCTTACGGCTCAGTCCACACGCACCACGCTCTCTGCACGTCAGTAGCCCCAGCCATTGCCCTCTCCTGACTTCCTGTCGGCATTACCTGTTTACTGGAAGACATGTTGGTAAGCGTACTGATGCTGCTTGTATCCGTGACCACCATCGCAGACGGAAACCGGGATGTGTGCGAATACTGGGGGGGTTCCTGCTTGTGTGTGTACACTGGAGAGACAGAGTGAAGACAGAGTCAAGCTGAGATCACACAAGCACATGCACAGCTACAGATACCCCATCCCATCCCATCGCTCCTGTGTCCCCAGGCAGACGGAAGGGCAGTGGTGGAGGCGGCGATGTTTTGGAAGGCAGTGTGTTGGGGTAAAAACACTAGCCGTGTGTTTAAATCCTCGCTCAATTACTTAACCTCAATTTCCTCATCTGTAAAATAGGAATGTAGGGTTAGAAAACATCATGTGGAAAGTACTTTGTACCAAAGAGCTTTGCACAGTGTCTTTCATGTAGTAGTGGACAGCACTTCTGTTCTCCTGACTTTCAAGTGTTTATTTATTTTTGAGACAGAGCGAGACAGAGCATGAACGGGGGAGGGGCAGAGAGAGAGGGAGACACAGAATCTGAAGCAGGCTCCAGGCTCTGAGCTGTCAGCACAGAGCCCGACGCAGGGCTCGAACTCACGGACCGTGAGATCATGACCCGAGCCGAAGTCGGACGCCCAACCGACGGAGCCACCCAGGCGCCCCGTGTTCTCCTGACTTTCAATAAAATGTTAGGTGCCCAGACATCAACAAGTGGCCCCCTCAGGCATATGTGACGCATCAGAGATTTTAAGGCAAAAAAAAAAAAAGTTCTAAGCAGTTAGCAAACATAAACGAACTGGCCAGCGCATGCTTGTTGTATCTGCCGTGACTCAAGCACCTGGCCTCATGCAAGCAATTATAAATGAATTAACAATGATAATTAGACATGGATATAGTTAATTGTATAATCAACAATTATACAATCATAAATAATTATATAAATCTGGGTTGTTCCAGACTGCACTAAAATGACATCGTATGTCACATCATGCCATCGCAGAAATAGGAAGGATGACGAAGGGAGACAAGATTCAAATAAAACCTCCAGGAACATGTGACTCGGTTTTTAGCTTTAACAGTACTTGTTCACCAAGTCTAGAACATTTTGAGTTCTGTAACTGACCATTAGATTCATATAAACTCCAGGTCACATGACCGAACAGAAGCATGTGGCTGTTGGGCCATGAGGGAGGGAGCAGTTTATTCTCTACCAAAGCATCCTCTAGTAGGGAATGGGGTAAATGTCACCACTTGCTAGCCCAGCTTGTCCTTCCTGTGGAGGGAGGCCGGTTATTTCCTGGTCCGGGGGCCCCTAGCTGGGCCTTGGTGGTCAACAGGTCACTGGTGACCAGTCTCTGGCTGTCCCACCTGGGCCTGGCCACGGAGGAATCCTGCCCAGGTGAGGGGGCAGGGACAATTGGGGGCGTATTGCCAGGCCCTGAAAAGACAGAAAGTGGGGTATGACATATGGTCCCAGACTCTGCTACAGGCTATGGCAGATTTTTTTTTTTTTAAAGCCACACACACACACAAAAAATGTGATTGGAATGTGAGATGGTGCATAGAAACAAGCTCCACAGGCCTGAGGCGGGGACAGAGCCTGAGGATAGAAGGCCGAACTTGGTTGCTCTTCCTTAGACCCATGGCTCCGATTGAGGCAGCCGGGGAGAAACAAAATTCCCCTTCCCCATTCCTGCCTCCTCTTATTAAAAACTCCCTTAATAAACAATGACTTGCATTTCTTTCACTCTTATGCTCACCAAACACGGTTCATACCAAGTCTTACTTCATCTCCATTATCACTCTACATTATTATTTCCATTTTACAGATGAGGAAAATTGAGGCCCAGAGAGTGGCTAAATAACTTACCAATGGCTACACAGCTGGTAAGTCTCAGGACCAGGATTTAAATTTAGGTGTATCTGACTCCAAGAGATGATCACTCTATTACAGAGACTTCTCTGGTGTTCCTGTGGGATGGTGCCTGCCATGATTTCTCCCCAGACTTGTAGGCCAGGGGCTGTATCCTGACATGGCCAGAGGGCTGGGGGCCTGGGGCTCAGGGTGGAGGGCAGAGATCTAGTGGCTGGCTGTGGGTGGGAAATAAGTGGTTGAAAGACAGGACTGAGAGTAGGTATAGAAATAGGCCGTGACAACTCGGGGGGGGCGGGGAGAAGTGCTAATATTCCTTATCCAGGATGGCATGCAGGTGGCATTTTCCACCTGTGCTCATGATTCTCAATTTGAGATGTTCAGGGTGTGTAAATTGGAGAGCACGGGGATTCTAGAAGATTCTTCAATTTCAGGGAGGGCACATGGGATGCAAATTGCATTCCCACTCTTGCCATCTGGTAATGGCTGCTCAGACTTTCAGATTGAAAAGGCTAAGTTGAGGCTCATCAGGAAAAGGTACTGTGGCTGATCGGTGATATCTTCCATGGGTACCAAAGTGGGCAATGGTGGCATGTGTCCCACACATGTGCTACACCCTGCTTTCTTTCTCCAACTCCACTTATGTAAAGTGGGCCCTCAACTGTCCTCTTCAAACCTGCCCGCCCCCCAGGAATGGGGGGGGATCTAGGAAAGGCACAGACCACAGGAAGGTCATGCTGAGACACTGTCTGGGTTGATAACAGGTAGAGAAAAGTGACCAAATCAGTATACTTCCAAGCAAGTACAGATCCAGAGAGGGCAGAGGTGGGTTGCGTAGGGCCCTTGCTGGTACCTCCGCCCCACCCCCCCCAACCCGCCTGCATCCTTACTGTGGGAGTTCTGTAGCTGAGTCACGGCCGCCATGAAGGGCTGCTGAGTCATGTGGCTGCCGGGGCTTTGCTGCATGAGGGGCTGCTGGTGAGGGCTGTGTAGCTGCTGGGAGAACTGGACAGGCTGCAGGGCGGCCAGGCTGCCAGCCACACTGTTGATGACAGGGACGCTCTGTGCTTGGGAGGTGTTGAGGCCTGTGGGAGCAAGAAGGAAAGATCAGAGGTGGCTTCCGGGAAGGGGAGGGTTGAGTGCATGGATGAGGTCACCCACCGAGCCCCTGCTGTGAGCCAGGCAAGGCTGAGCTTTGCTTGAGAGATTGCACAGGAAACGACTTTCTAGATCCGTTATACAGACAAAGAAACTGAGGCTTGGAGAGATTGACCTGCTGACATTCCACAGTGAGTTGCAGATGGAAATGGGCTTACACAGATCCGAGGCATGACAGGCTCCCAAAGTCATCCCGGCACCTCCCAAACTTGAGGTTGCCAGGACCCTGGGAAAGCTGCCTCTGCTTGCCCACTCCCTCCAGGCCCGACTCCCTGAGAGGGCTGCCCGGTGCCCTCAGGGCAGTTAAAGGAGGCAGATTAGTGCCCAGGCCTGTCTGTCCAGCAGAGGGCAGGAGTGATCAGGAACTCACATTTCGACAAAACCACAAAACCACCTCCACAGTCCTAGGAGTACGAAGCCAGAACACCCTCATTTAGTGGACTTGTGCAAAGACCCCGACAGAGGTCAGGTGCTCATTCTCTGGCTGACAGCAGAGAGCAGGATAAACAGCAGACCTCAGCCAGTTCTATGAAGTGGACGTAACTCATCCCGTGGCACGGGGCTTGTGGCATCCAGAGGTCCAGGTACTGGGAGGAGGAAGTCGTAAGTGAACGGTTGACAGTTTACAGTGGTTCTTGCCATCTTTCTGTTCTGGGGGTGGGAGGCTTCTGTGGTACTGCTCCATGCCTGTGTCCTGAAGCCTCTTCAGAACCAGGGCCGGCACTACAGAGACTGCGTCCCTGGTCCCGCATCTCTGGGCAGGAGTGTGGGGGAGACAGCTGAGGCAGAGTATGAGTAGGGATGAGAGGATCAGGGGCAAGACACCCTGACCTCTTTCCTGGGGCTGTCAATGTTCCTTTGACCGTGCTTTCTGTGAAATGGGGGGGCAGGATGGGAAGGAAGAAGAAAATCCAGAAAAAGGTGTCTAGGCAAGTGCGGAAGGGACACCTAGAGAGCCTTTCCTGAAACAGAGAGGGTTCCAGAAGTGGGTTTGTGGGAAGTCCTCCAGGGAGATAGCACAAAGACCTCATCTGCTGCTTACTCAGGGCTTTAGCTGATACTGTTATCAGAACCCTAAAAGGCAAGTCTCCTGATCGGAAGTGAAGGAAGAAGCCCCCTCCTGGCTTCCTTGGGTGGGGATGGGGCCAGGTCCTCTGATCGCCCTCAGACCAGCACTATCTCCCATTCCCCAGGGGCTCACCTGATACCCTGATATCCTGTTTCCCTCTCCTGCCTTCCACTGTGGTCTCAGTCTCCTGGGAGGCCCCAGATGCTTGCTGTTCCCCCGGGGAGCCCATTACAGCTGCTCTTTTGGGAAATCCCTGCCCAGAAAAGCAAATTACCCTGCCTAGAGTGGATGACGTTTGAGGGCACGGTTCTGAAACCTGCCTGTGCTTTAGAGTCATCTGGGGGAGCTCTTTAGGAAATACACATTCCTCCGCCCCACCCAAGACTTAATGAGTCAGAACCTTCCGAGGTAAGGCCCAGGAATCTTATTTTCAACACCGTCTGTGATGCTGCTGTGCCTCAATTCCAGGATCCAGAGCCACTGATGTCATCCTAGCTCCCGCGAAGTGTGACTCGTGGCCTTTTCCCCTGCTTTCTGTGCACTGGTTCCTGCCCAAGAAGCATGTTGTACAGCCCAGGGGATGAAGAGAGAGTGAGGAGTCGGCAGTGCCGGGGCCTTTGTTATCACTTCTCCATGGGCCTCTGTGGTCCCCAGGCAGGACCCACACACTCAACCCAACAGTTGGCCACATGAGGCCACAGTTGCCTGCAAGCAATTCTTCATCCTGACACTCTATGGGGTAGGACCATGTGTCTCAGCTGGGTTTTCTGTTGACGCTCACCATTGTTCATGCTCCCTCCGCTCCAAGCACACGCACGCACGCACACGCACACCCTTCCAAGGGCCACCTACACTCTGGTGCTGCCCCTGCAGTAGATTAGGACTACAGCGAGAAGGTAGACAAGTGTGGGTGGAGGAGATTAGGAGGAATGAGATTGAAAAATATGGAATAGCTCCAGGAAAAATTTTAGTTCAGATAGTGCCTAAGAAAATATGTAATTGTGGGGGCGCCTGGGTGGCTCAGTCGGTTGAGCGTCTGACTTAGCTCACGTCATGATCTCACACTCCATGAGTTCAAGCCCTGCATCGGGCTCTGTGCTGACAGCTCAGAGCCTGGAGCCTGCTTCGGATTCTGTGTCTCCCCCTGTCTCTGCCCCTCCCCTGCTCATGCTCTGTCTCTCTCTGTCTCAAAGATAAATAAAAACATTAAAAAAAATTAAAAAAAAAAAAGAAAATATGTAATTGTGTAGCTGTCGGCCAAAGCTTGATGTGGGAAGAAAAGAGGAGAGTGGGGTGGTTCGTGTATCATTTTGGTTGTGGAAATAAAGAGGTGGCATATCTTACTCATGGATCTTTTACTCAAATCTTCTAGAAGGCGAGCAAGCTGGGTTTAGATATCCTATCTCATTATCAAACCCCGGGGTTAGTCTGGTTACCATATTCCTGTGAAAAGGCAGTAAGTTCAAAATAAATTTTTATTTGGTAAGCCCTCTAAATGCTTCTCTACTCCCATTTCT